AACTTTTTCAACTTAACTTTTGAAAATGTTCCGGAAGGTCTGACACTTTTATATATATCTTAAATTAAAGCTAATGTAATGTTCTTCAATTTGAAAAAAAAAAATTTGACCTCTGGACTTGTCTTCACGGCGAAAATGGCTACCGAATGCTATTTTCGTGTGAAAATTCTCGATTTTATTATTTATATTATATTTAACTTTATAATGCTATAACTTATTGAAAAGTTTATGGATCCACACAATTTTTTTATGAGAAATAATATTTTTTAATAAACCCTTTTTCATTCGACATACTTTATCTTAATCGAGATATTAATAAGGAACCAGCAGATCAAGTAGCTTTTGGAATAAAACACCAATTTTTTTAAAATTAAACACTATCTAAAGATTTGCATCGAAGCGTTTATTTTTGATAGTGATTTTAATCACTGTCAGATATCATTATACTTGATCCAACTATGCCACGTCACCACTGTGCCACGACCCCCCTGTGCTGGGTTTTTTTTAATCCTTAAAAGTTTATAATAAAAAAAATTAATTTTTACAAAAACTTTTAGCTCAATTTGCTAGTTTGAAATTGACATCATTAAATAAAAAATATTATGAGAACTAAAAAAATTGTATTGTTAAGATTAATATGCAGTCAGGAAATTTTATAATTATTATTTATAACAAAAACCCATTATTTTAAGCTCATTATTTTTTTGCATTTTTATCGTAATAGATAACTTAAATAGAAATAATAGTAATAATTTCTTAGTAACTTTTGGTGTTTAAAAAGATTCTACAATTGAAATATTAACTGAATTAATATTAATGATTTTTTTTAACTAAAATAACTAGTTAAAAAAAAGTTGTTAAAAAGATCTAAAAATCCATTGTTAATTCAGGAGAAACTAACAATCATTTTTTTTAGAAATGATTTATATAGTAACATGTTACCAAAAAAATTGGAAATTATATACTAGTAGTACACACAAATAGAGTAAAAAAATTATTAAATTACAAAGTAATTGATATAAATGAAACCTACCATATCGAACTTGATTCGTCAATAAATAAATTTAATGGGTTACCAACTTAAATAAGTATTTACCTTAATACATTATCATAGTATTACTATTTTTAACACGCTTATTAGTTTCACCTGTATGTATGTATGTTTGTTTGCAACTCTCCACGCGCCAAGGTTATTATTCTCTCGTATCCCGTCGTCTATGGCCTTGAGACTAGACTGTTGTATCCATAGATCTTATAAACAGTTTATATTATGGCCACAACGAGGCTCGCGAGCCACATGCGGCTCTTGAGTTAATCTGGTGCGGCTCTCGAACCTGAGTTCAGAGTAAAAATATTACTGATTTAAAACAATATAATAATGCAATGTACAGTTAAATGAGGATACATCATACCCTGATTTCCTACCTGTACATTGCATTATTCACAGGGAACATTTAGCTGCAAAGTATTTTCAATATCCCCAGATTATGCAGGTAGTTTTAAAAATTGTTAACTACATTCGATCAAGTGCTAAGACACACCGACAGTTCAAATCCTTCTTAGAGGGCTTGGACAATGACGAGCTTCCTGATGATGTATCATGGTACTGTTTAGTTAGATGGCTATCAGTAAGCAATTAAAAAGTGTCTTTAACTTATTAACCATAAATTCATCTCCAAACAATGTGGCTCGCCTTAAAACAGCTTCATAAATTTGTGGCTCCCTGAGTAAAGGTTAGTGGCCACCCATGGTTTATAAGATCTATGGTTGTAACGCATTCACCCCACTCCGCTCATCAAACGCCGACAACATTATTCCTGTTTAATGTTATTTTTGGTTTTCGCACCCCTACATACGTGCGTATCATCAATATTATATATAAATAATATTCAAATTTTTATTGTTTATTATTAAATAAAAACATTTAAAGATTCAATTTTTTTTGAGTTAATATACATGTATAATAAGGGATTACAAATACAGGTAGCTAATTGGTTTTTTATGACGATATTAGCAAGCTTATAGCCTTTATTATCAATGGTAATAAGACACGTTGTTGTGAGTTTATAAACACACTAACTGGCAATACACAAATTATATCTATTGATAGTGATAATTGACAATAAACACTCCGTGACTGTAATAGCGATGTCATAAAAAACTAAAGTAAAAAATTAATATAGTTGAAAAAAACACGCTTTTAAAGTACATCGAACTAAAAAGTTAAAAATAATTTTTAGTTCAATGTACTCTAAAAGAGTGTTTTTTTAATTTTTTAAACTATATTTATTATTCATATTAATCAAATGACTTTATGACTGTTTGGAAAAAGTATTCTCAAAGTTTCATTTATAAGTAAGTCTTATTATAACAATTAAATATTTAAACAATAGCAAATAATCATACATTTATATTTTTACATTAGCATTCTATGTTTTAAAAGTTATTGAAGTATAACATAAGGAGGAATACAAAATGTTATTGATTTAAAATTTGAGTACTTCATTAAGTTTGTCCAAAGCATATCTAAAAATAGGAATAAATAAATAATTAAAAAATGGAAAAATTATTTAAATACTTTTAAATTTTAGCAAATAATTGTTACTTTGCTTGTGGTTGAGATTTATCTACTTCAATGGCCACTAATTTTGATTGATTAAAAAATTGTGTTAGCTCTTTTGGTGTAGTACTTCCATAAGTTAACCATGAAGAAGGTAAAGATTTTGCAATCTAAAAAATAATAAATTATTTTCAATATGTAAAGTGATTCTTTTATCATTGACTAATGAATTTGAAAAGTAAAAATAATTTTTATTAAGTTTTTCTCAACTAATTGATCATTAAGTATTTTTCATGTTTATCTCTTATTAATAAAGTTGTCAATTTTTAAAATGCTTGTCCAACAGTTTTTATCAACCAGCTATTTTCTTAACTGGATCATTTTTTATTTTATCAGCTAGTTTAATACTTATAATATTAAACTGTTAAGAAAATGGCTGGTTGATAAAAACTGTTGGACAAGCATTTTAAAAGTAGACAACTAAATTAATAAGAGATAAATATGAAAAATATTTAATGATTGATTAATGGAGAAAAAAGTGTAATTAATAGAAGCTAAAGGTAAAATTTTTAAAATTATTTTCATTTTTTGAATAATTTAGTGATAATACATAAAATAATCATTCTATACAGAAACAATACATTGAAAACAATTTAATAACAAACCATGGTAATTTTAAGAATAGCTTCTAATGGTTGTAACGTTCTTACAGACATAAGCAAATATCGGTTTAATATTTGATTTATTGCAAGATCTATTATAATACCATCTTCAATTATGTGATACCAGCAAAGAATATTTCCTAGTAATTTTACAGCAACATTAAATTGTCTCTGAAAGAAAACATTCATTTTGCCAGAATTCATCACTCTGAAAAATAAATGACAACATAAAACAGTATTATTTATGGTAAAACTCTGTTTTTTCCTTACTGTTTAGGATAAATAGGAATAAATACATCATTATCAACAGAATCTCGAAGCCTATCAACCAAATTAGTTAGAAGTGCCATTAGGAGTTTGCTATCAGGATCAATGGTAGGATAATTATCAAGTATATTTTTAAGAATAGCACTGAATCTTTTTGTTTGTTTTGATGACAAAGGATCCCATTGTGTCACTACAATTTCTATAAAATAATATAAATAATTTTAAAAGATTTTATTGTTGATACTCACACTATAAATAGTTTTCTGTTAATTTTACTTACGGTCAAGTTTATTTAATATAATTTTTTCTATTATTTTTGGAATTAATTCTAAGTCAATATTTTTTGTAAGTTGTTCAATACTAGACATACCATTCATGGTATACTTTTGCATACTTTTATACCACAACATATTTTCAAATTTTTGATCTTCCTTTATACACACAAATAAAAAATGTATTCATAGATTATAAATCACAAATAGATAATATTTTCCTAATTTGAACTATTACTTCTAAAGGATTCCATGTCAACATTTCTAGTCGAACATATGGCCCAATTAATTTAGGTAAACAAACATTAACATATGCTTCATTATAAGTTTCTTGATAGTTTTTTTTCCATTGAAACATTTGTTTTAAAATTAAATCAATTGAAGCAAATTCATCAAGAACATCATCCATTAAAACTTCTGCATCATTTTTTACAACCTCTGAGAATGAAAAAAAAACATTTTGCAAAATAATAACTTAGACTTACACACATATAAATGTTTTTCTTAAAAATTGACTAGTATTTGATAATACTGATATCAATCTATCATACTCCACTTATATAGTTAATTATCAACAAGATCTACATATTAGCCGACCCCAAGTAGTTGGGATTAAGGCGAGGAAGAATAAGAAGATCAACAAGATCTACATATATATATAAATAAATAAATAAATAAATAGGGTGTTCAGTAAATAAGGAGAGGAGTTTCTAGTATTCTTATTGTTTTTAACAAAACCCAATCTGTTTCCTTACTTACTGAACACCAGTATAACACGGGTGGTTACTTTTTAGAAAAATGTTTACACACTGTATATTAAAAAAATAACATTACAATCATAATATTTAAATACCTATTTGAGATCTAAAAACATTAGCATCAGTTTCGGGAACTTCTTCATCAGTTGACATTCCATCTGCATGTTTACTAATAGATTTTAACTCTCTGCTTCTCATACGTCTTATACGACGACCTTCACGTTCAGCTGCTCTTCTTTGTTGTTCTTCTGATCTTGGTATAATAGATGAAGATGATCCTAGTTCTATATTATCAAAATTGTATGAGTTATAAAATAATTTAATTTCTTTATATAATAAAAGCTATTACTGTTAGATGGAGGCATAGCTTCATCAGCCTGATCCCTAACATCTTGTCTTCTTCTGGATATTAAATCATTGCGTCTTTTTTCAAAGATACTAGAAAGACGTTGTTCCAACATAACAAGAACGGGCATCTAATTAAAAGTTTTTAAAGAAAAATTTTCATTAATATTTTTAATTTTATTAAATCTTATAATAACATTAATAAAATATTAAAATATTTATTACAGACCTATGTTTTTTTGTAGCAGTGTTATAGTAAGATCAGATTTAAACACATTTTGACTATTTAATTAATCACATTAAAAAAAAAACTATTATTGAAAGTAAATTTGCAACATAAAATGTAATAAAAATACAGATTATATTCAACATTATAACAATATTCAAACCAATTATTTTAAAAATGGGTATTCAAACTTATTTTTTTTGTAAACAGTGTTAACATTTTTATTCTGAATCAAAAAATTACACTATTTACTTTCCCATTTAGATTTATTAAATCTAATTTAGGATATGTAAGTGAAGAACATGGCGAAAGAATCCTTGAAGATATAGCAATAAAGAAAATTTTTTTTTTTATTAACATTTTACGTAAGAAACAGTTATTTTACAAAAATTGAAATTGTAACTAAAATGTCAATAGTAGAGAAAAATTAAATGCATGTTCTGAATTAGCGTTAGAAATCCAATAGGACACATAAGAAAAATTTCCATAAACGTTTTATGAATTTAATTTTATTGATCTGTATTATTAATATTAAAACTACCTTACAGCTAGGTCAATGATGGATGGGATGGGAATTATGGACGGCTAGCACAAGAGACCAGACACCATCAATGAAAAAATCTTGTTGCCACACTGGGGATCAAACGCAGAATCCCATGTGTCAAACATACATTTCTACCAATTAGGCCAAGCTGACCCCTTTTAAACTACCTTACAGCACATAAGTTAATTTTTGAACATGAAAAGATAACATTCATACCTTTTCATCAAGACATTCTACCAGATCTGTGACATACCCACGTAAATCTTGGTAAAACTGGAAACAATCAGCCAACTCTGGAATATTTTTTTTATGTTTTTCAATTTTGTCCTTAATTTCTGGTATTTCATTTTTCATATCTTCATAATACTTAAAATCTGGATTTATTTTATTTTTAAGGTCCATTAATCTAAAAATAATTTAATAATGAAAATCAACTAATATAAAAATATTCTAAATAAGTAAAATTTAATATTCTTAACATTAGTAATGTTCGAATTATTTAATTTTCATATCAAACTGAAATGAACTCTTGATATTTAGATTAGTATAAAAATCAAAGTTAAAACAAACTTTTTTTTGAAAATGAGACAATTATAATTAAATAACAAGTGGAATTTGTTAAAGAACAATAAAAAAATGTTTCACATGAAACAATAACAAATTATTATTCGGTTTGGATTCCATTAAAAAAACTGGTAGTGTNAAATTATTATTCAGTTTGGATTCCATTAAAAAAACTGGTAGTGTAGTTCAATTTTAAATATTAGGGTTTGTAACATCACTACTTTACATACATGTCTTGAGTTTTTTTTATGATTTCAATGGGATTTATGAAAGATGCAATATTTTGTGAAATGTTTGTGATTCTTCCTTTTTGTTCTATCATAGTTGTCATTGTATGTTCTTGTGAACCAGCATTATGAAGAAGACCATTTCCATACAATGATATACATGTGGATTCTTGTTGTGCTGCAGCCAATTGAGAACCTGTAACAGCTTTTCTTATTTGTTGTGTTTCCCAATCATTATCATCTTCATCCATTTCATTATTGTCTTGAATATCAGTATTCACATTATCTATAATAGTCGTTAAACATTAGATATGAAAATAAAAAACAATAGTTTGTACACCGGTAAAAATTATATGGACTTTTCATTACCAGCTAATGTAATATGTAAACTTTTTTTTCGGTCATCAGCTTGGCTAACTATTCCAGACATAATAATTCTTTCATCATCATCACTATCCTCTAGTTCATCTTCTTCACGAGTCAAACGTCTACCAATATTTTGTTCTTTTTCTGTATTACTTGCATCACTGAAAAAGTTAACAAAACATATATTCTACTTTTTGTATTGTTATTAGAAAATAAATACAGAATGATTCACGAAGATATAACAAATTAAATATATTTTCAATAACAATTTAGAATGAGTACTATTGTATGTATACTCCGCTAGAATTTCATAACGACTTGATGTATTAAAATACGTATAGAATGATAAGTACTCATCTTATCTTGGTAAATTACTCAGTATATATTTTCTAATAACAATTTAAAAAGTAAAAAATATTTTTTATGCAAAATATCAAATATGTCTAGAAATTCATTTTTTAGAGACCAATATTAACATAAATTTTAAACTAAATTTTTTTTTTTTAAATAGTAATATGAATATTTTTTAAATAGCATACATATTAATAATAAATAGTTATTTATAAATTTAAAGAGTATAAAAATTGATTTTTTATGAAATATTAATATTAAAGAGAGATGGTGTTGTTGAGTAGGCTATGCAGCAATACATGATGTACGCTAATAAATTCATGACTCTGTAAGAGACAGATCCATTTACTAGGTGACTGAATAGTTTAGTAAATGGAGTCGACATTCTTCATTTTAGAAATGAACTAATTAACTATCTTGGAGTATAAAAAGTAATAATAGGTTGCAATAGCTAATAATTCTTAAAACTGTAAGTAATATTAAATTTAATTTCTCAAACTTAAAACACAATAAACATTACACAATGTTCAATTTGATTAAATAATTAATGTAATTTCAACAAAATTGCACATAATACATTTTTTTTACTAAACTATTGATATTACATTATATTGTTTTTTTTTTTTCAATTTATCAATAAAAAATATTTTTTATGTTCATCACTTATACCTTATAAAGGGGTCAATTTTACTATAGAAATGATTGGTTGATAGTAATTTTTGAATTAATATTTTGGTAATTGTTAAAACTTTTACAGTGATAGCTGGGATTTAAATGAGAATTATATTGATGTATATAATTAAATATTTTTTGGTAAAATATATCGCTACTGATTTGGTAACATAGGATTTATATTCCTAAGCAGAATAAAATTTAATATAGTTTACTCTAACACATTATGATTTATTTCTCTTTTAAAAACAAATATAATGATAGTTTGTTTCTGATTTAGAATTTAAAAATGTTTATACATAACTGATAATTAAAAAACCTATTTTTAAATTTTTTAAAATATACATGTTAAATAACATCTTATAGCTTAAGTACATAAATAAATTAAAAAAATCATAATCATTCAAAAATATAATTATCTGTTCTGTGTTGCTCCTTAAAAATTTATTTAATATCAATTATGAGTTACCAAATCAGTAGTGACGTGTACCATACTCCTCACTTGCATGTTTGTAAAATTGTTTTATTAAGTCAATTAAAAAGTACACTTCAGAATAATTTTTTAAATATATAAAATATAAATTCCATATTTACTTATGAGATGATTGAGATATAGGTATAAAATCTTCTCCCATATCACGGGCTTGTTGTCTTCTTTTTCTAGCAGCATGAATCAAGGCAGCATTTGGGATTTGTCCCTCTAAAATTTTATATTTATTTTAAATATAAAAATAGTTAATTTTAAAACAATAAAGTCAATTTTTACTTTTTAATACTAATTTAACTTCATCTGGATTAGAAAAACGATGGACAGATGGATTGAATGTATCTTGCTCCTCATCTGATGATTCATATCCTGCCATCTCTGCAGCTCGACCAGTAAGCATTATTTCTTTTTCAATCGATTCTGACTAACATTTTAAAAGTATAATCTATAAACAGCTACTATATTGAAAAATTATTATTTAATAGCTTACTTTAGGTTTGTTTGTTTTTAATTCATTAAATGTAAGCTGTAATGTTTCATTGGTATTAGTTAATTTTTTAATTGACTCTGATTTATTTCGACTCATTTTTTCTTTATTCATTTGTTTTTTAATTTTTTTACTGTAAGATGATTTTCTAACTTTAAATTCTTCACCGTCGTCACCTATAAATAATAATATTTCAAACAAACAACATAGGTATCTAATAATTTGTTATATTACTTACATTCATTTAAATCATCCTCAAAACTTAGAGTACTAACTTTCTTGGGTACTTTAATTTTTTGACTTTTTATTGATTTAAGTGTTGTTTCTTCACTTAAATTTTCATCGCATTTTTCATCGGAAAAATCATCAGAATCTCTCACCCGAAGATTTCGTTTTGGTTTCTTAAAATATAGTCCCGCCATAATACTCACTTATTAAGAAATATTTGAAGTTTTAAATTAGCAAAGTTAATATCCAATGATTAATATATATACAAAAAATTATCAAGACATTATTTTTAAAAAAGTTGTACTCTAAACTGACAGAATTTTAATTCTTAAACATACAAATTAATATTTTAACTATATTTGATAACTTATCACATGGGAACTGAATATTGTTTAAGCCGCCAGCACCATAGATAATAAAGAATTATTAAGAATTTTTTGTTATCTATGGCCTGCAAGGATTATACATCCTCCTGACAACAAAGTCTTTATCAAATCTTCCATTTCTATTACGCATAAACTACGACATAAATTATTTTGTATTTATTTATGTAATTCAACCAAAAGGTACAAGTTTATATGTACTTAGTACTCATAAATCGGTATATTTTGGTTTTGTCGTAATGCTTTATATGGTTACATTGTTAACCGTTTTCTGTAATCAGGAAATTATTTTTAATTATCACTACTCAAGGATTATAGAAAAAATTCTAACAAAATGTCCATAGATGTTATATTACAAACTATATGAAAAGATATAATTAACGATTATGTTTAACATAATCATGACCGTAATATACGGTCTATGGAAATGGGGAGTGCTATCCGGTTTCGTCAAAGAAATTTCGTAAAAAAAGGAATATTCGGCAAACAGTGATTTATTAGAATAAAAAATTTTAAAACTGATTTAGGAAATCGGAAAAATACAATTATAATAGTAGATAATACGATTACTTCAAAATGTCTCCTATATAAAATGAATAACAAAACCGGATCGCTTAATAAGATCTCAAGTACAGTTCACTTAACTTAGTGATGTTTGCTAACATGTGGTAAATGATATAGTATATATTTAAGCCAATAGATAGCGTAAAGTTTACAATATGTGCTATAAATGAATATTTTGAACATTTTGTATCCGTTTTCATGTAAAATCATTTTATTATAAATACATTTTTTAATTATGCCGTGTAAAGGGGAATTTCGGTATAATGGCGTTGTCTATTTTACATGTATTTGCTCTATTCCCCCACTCCATTTTTGAAATTTTGTATTTTAAAAACATTTGTAGCTAGACTTCACGCTTATCAAATATTCCTCTTCTACGAAATTCTATAACAAAACCGCATTGCACTTCCCGATCAAATTGACCTTACCGTGATAATTCCATTTTATCTTAGTTGGTGATACATGTTAATGCATTTGTTATCTATGGTGTTATTATGTCTATGAATTTTTCGGGAGAGCACCTTTGCCACGAACTGATGATGCTCCGACATTTACATACTACGACATTTGACAAAGTAGTAATTGTTACGAACATCTGGTACTCCGACCATCTGAGTCATAGGTTACCAAAATTATGACGGATTTTACTCCCACATTAAATTTAAATAAATATAGTTTAAAAAAACTAAAAAACACGCTTTTAAAGCACATTGAACTAAAAAGTTGAAAATAATTTTTAAAACAATATTGAACGAAAAGTAGTAGAATTATTGTGATAAAAGCG